GGAAAGTGTGATCGGAGGTTGACCAGGGAGGCAGAGGACCCGCTGCCTCGTAAACTAACGAGATGTCGAAGCGGTAATGCCGACCATAATTCGCGACGAGTTACGAAGCGAACAGCCATGTCGTGTCGCGTAGTCGTGCGCTTCGAGATGGCATAATTGGTATATAAAGTAGAAATTAAGTTGGTAGCCGTTCTGTGCGAGTGAAACTCTGTGTAGGAAACTCGCGGGAGGATCGCTCGAGACTTGGCTCGATTGGCGGCAATCGCATTTTGTTATTTGCCTTGTATTTTCGTTGGTGCGTGCGTATGTTTTCCACGGACGGCGCTTAAATTACTATAAAGAAATGCGCAGCGATAAAATCGCGAAAAATACGACCGAGTGCGATAAACGATGGCGCGGTGGTGTTAATAAACGCTGAAAGAAATATCGATGGCGAGATTATCGCATGTCGCGGCCAATAAGCCGCGAGCAGATTCATTTTTATACAAATGTTGCAGTAAGCAACATTTGTACAAAAAGTTATTTGTCAAAAATCATTTATGGATACCTTTTATGGATAAAAAACAAGAGAGTAAGATTCCACCAAATTCCTCCTAATTTTGTAAATCCTTAATACACGATAATTTTTTTATCTTTTACTACACACGATGAATTGTTTGTGTTCCGAGTTAACTTTTATCATTTTTATAGGTAGCTATATAAAAATTATTAAGTTCTTACATACTTCAACATCTTTAAAAAGTTTTTACATACTTAAACGTCTTTAGAAAATATTTATAAAGTTAAAAAGAAAGAGGAAAGAATAGAGAGACCATTAGCTTAATGCTCCTAACATATTTCAAAGAAGAAAAATGCTTACGGCTCGAATGACCCAATTGTATATACTAAGAGTTAAATCAGTATTTAAGAAGACGTACGATATTGACAAACAGAAATTTTGGCACTTTTATGTATGAAAATTAGAATTATAAAATTAGAATTGTAATATTCGCATTTATCATTTGATATGATATTTCGTATCTACAAAATTGGAGACAGAAATTTGTTCGAAATTCTACGACTTTCAATTCCCTAAGCTCATCCAATCTTCTCGGCGAAATCCATTCGTGTGTGATTCGAAAAGCGCAACACGGTGTAGAGGAGAAAAAGAGAGAGAAAAAGACAAGGGGGAGGGAAAGGGGGAGGGAGGGAGGGAGGAGTGAGAGAGAGAGAGAGAGAGAGAGATGGAGGGAAAGGGAGACGAAGAGGAGTGCCGAGGTTGCACCCTCGTAAAGTAACCAAACGTCGAAGTGGTACCGCGCTGCATAATTTCCGATGAGTTACGAGGCGTGCGCCCATGCCGCGGTTCGTAGCTCGTTGCAATCGGCATATAAAGTAGAAATTAATATGGCGACGGAGGTGCAAGTCCCGGTAAAATTTCGAAAAAAAATTTGCATCGGAACCGAAGACGCGAAGGGAGATCGAAAAAAGGAGAACAACCGAGCGTTGTTATTACCTCTTCGGCTGCATCACCTTGCACTCATAACGGCACATATACGCGCACGTATGTGTACTGATGCGGAAGGGAGGTAATATATAAATATCCTTACCGTATCTCCGTGGTAATTAGCACCGCTATCACGACGCATTTCAATGTAAAAAGTCTCGTGGAATGAAGACGTCAATCGGGTCATTTTATTGCACACGTTGCGTAATCGTAGCAATCGAGAGCGGTGCTCGAATCGACGCAAGAAACGGGAGGAGAAACTTATTCTACCGGTAAGTAGATTACTTTGCTAATAGGATCATAATGCAATGTGATTGTATAAGATTTTATTTAAACAGTCCTATTTTACCACATAATATATGTATATTCAAACAAAATAAGAAATAATTAAAAATGAGTAATAATGAGTGTTACAAAAAATTAGATTAATACATTAATTTATTCTCTGAAAAAAGACAATAGTAGACAAAGTAACAAAAACATTTCTCAACTTGGGCTTCTTTCGATTGCGCAGCATGTAATGAATGATGAAGATAGAAAAAACTTACAGCACGTTAACGTCCAAACTCCAGACTGAACGCAACTAGTCTCTATTAGTTTGGTAAAAAGTATCACGATAAATAATAATAATACGCAACAAGTTATAAAATATAACAATTATTTATCACATTAAATATATAAATAATGATTTAGCGTTTTTAAAGTTTAATGTTGTAAAAGTTTGTTCATAACAAATTCGTCAATTAGAGGCAAAAATTCTGTTAAATCGAAACATATGATAGAGAAATCCTAGATTGATTGTTAAAAATATAAAGTCGAAAGTTAAAACATCAAAAAAGAAAAGGAAAAGATTTTTTACAGACAAATTTAAAAGATAAAAATTAAGTTCAAATAAACTATAAATAATTAAAAAAAAAGGAAAATAATCTAAATCTGTTATGTTTTAATAAAGTAAAAGTATAAAATAGTGTAAATTGAAAAAGTAAGAGTCAAAGATATAAAACTTACGAATACAGACATTGATACAGACAAAATCAAGAATTTATATTAATAAATAATGTGTCTGTAGTAGCATCGTCTAAGATCTTTTAGCATTAACAAGTTCCAAGTGTAACTTATATGTTTACATCTACAATGAGTGAAAAATTGAGAGAAAAATACAAGATATACTATTTTCCTTTGTCGTATTTCTAGATATTAGAATAATAATACGATTTTAATTTCCTCGTTGTTTAAGAAATATACATATTTTCTCACGCATTTGAAAAAGACAACAAAGCGACGGCGGATTTTGTATCGTCCATATCGTTAGTGAGCTTCATATTTTAAACGTCGCTTGTTCCAGGAAATCCTTTTTTTTACGTGAAAAAAATACTCCCTATAGATTGGTATCTATTCGTAAATCGGAATTCTGCCGCTTTGCGCGATTCTACCTCTCCTTCCGTTTCGACGTTTCCGCTACCGCAGAGGAGGACCTCTTTTGCGCTCTTCCGACGATTATCATCTGTAACGACGTATTTTGGGATCCTCATGTCACCGGTTCTGACAAATTAGTGTCCCTAACAATTAAACGTTCCCGTCGTAGAGATCTCATCTCGCCGAGCTTCCCATTCTCGTAAGAGTCATGCATTTTAATGACTTACCGCGAAAAACTTTAACTTTACCAACACACCAAAAAAAAAAAGGAGATGGATTTAGCACGAAATCACGCTGTGCATATCGCAAACTTGACTTTTATTTGAGGAACAACTTCTGCACCCTGCGAACCCCATTTTATCGTTTACCAGTTATAGGGCACTCGGTTCGATTAAGAAAACAAAGGTTCGGCTTTAGAAAACGCGTCTCGCTTACGGCAAGAATGTATAGCCGATGTACAAAGGCAAAGGGATAGGTAATTATTTTACGTATCGTCCGACGAGCGAGAATACGCGATCGTTCGATCGTCCGCGAAGAAATAAATTGCTCTAACTACACTTTATTTACATTTTCTAATATTGTATTGTATATTAATTAATCGAAGTAGAAAAAAAATTATTAGTAAAATAGCATTACATAAATTTAAATTTCTTATAAAAAGTAAACCGATTTTTGCAGGAATGTCATACATTAAATATCTTATTTCAAAAACTTTAATTTAACTTCATATCCCTTTAAAGAAAAAAATATAAAAGTAAGAAAGCAGTCGCATCATGTTAAAACTTCTATTCTTGAATCTGTATTCACATCTCACTTTTATCAATAAATGCGCGCATTTAGCATATAGTTTACGTTAGAAATATTATAGCTGATACTATAGAATCTTAGATAAATATCGCAATTATCGATAAAAATAAGGTATAAATCTTATAGAAATTTAATACTAGCTACTGCTAAAAAACAGTAATTAATTACGTATTTTATTATAAAAAGCACTAGTCTTTAGTTATTTTTACTATTCCAAATAAGTAATTAATTAACGTCTTTTAGTAATAAATTGGCCAATGTTATAATAAATTAGCCAGTATTTTTGTAAAAGAATATAAACTTATATCTTTATATTATATATAATAACATTCTTATTTTGAAATCTGTATATTTTTATTCTAAATCATTTATCAGTTTAGTTTGTCACGATTATTTGTCCGGTGCATAAATTTTAATGAAAATGACAAAAGAGTCAATTAAATAATATGTCTCTATCAATACACATTTGCGGTTTAGTTCAATTTTACTGTAAGATAATAGAGAACCTAATTTTACTGTAGGGTAAAATTTCAAGGGCTAATGTTCAACGGACCTTACCAGTTTACGCCCACGTGTTTTGTGATCGTAGTCACGCGTAGACAATGATCCCACATCCATTTAAAAAAGAAAGATCGAAAATCAACCGAAGGACCTCGCACGCACCGAAACTCATGTGGGAGTATCTCTTTTCGAAACACATAGGGAGTCTTGTATTACGTGTTCCTTTGTATGCGTATGTAAATCTATCGGCAATGGCGTAGAGATGAATGGCGAAAGGAAAGAAAGTAGGAAGAAAGCTCGCGTTTGACGATCGTAAACCACTGCAACTTTCGTTTTTATTCGTATATCCGAGTAATTCGATATTTACCAGTAAAAACATCTCTTCAAAGTATGTACATTTTTCTGCATATTATTTTCCATTTTGTTTCTTGTAATTTTTTAGCAATTCCTTGCTTCTAATTTCTCGCAATTCATATAATTTTGTATTCGCCTAGCGCCTAGGAAATGCATTTTAGCGCTAAATTTATTTACATGAAAATAAAATTATATCGTGATGAGTGTTACTTTATGGCGAAACACGAAGGAAAATAATGCGGTGTTTTTGCAGCCTTTAGTGACGTTTACGAGCACGTTAAAAAATTCTATAAATATGTTAATGAATGTCGTAGTGTAGCCGAAATAAAGCACATTCTCGCCAGGCGATTGCAGACATATCAAAAACATAAACATGATATATACATATATATATTTTTACAGATAATGGCATTTACAAATATAATTATGCGTTGGATAACGACATTTTTATTGTCAGATACAGCTTCGACGCCATTGCATGAAAACATATATGTATATGGATATGTATGTCACATATGTACATATATTCTGTATGTGCGTCGAAACGCAAATGCGTTACCCCACCCATATCCTTCTTTGAAAATTTCGTAGTCATATATCGTAACAAATGATTCTTTATTGGTCAGACCTCTTTCTCGTGCAAATTTATGCCCGTTTTTTTTATTCATCACTTTTCTTCGCCTTTCTCAATTGAAACGACCGCTCTTCTCGGTACTTCATATTTTATTATGGTTAAATGATAGGTTTCCTGTATATTAAAAGACACATATAACAAGGCCATCCTTTAAAATTTGCAGCGCTTTCATAGAAATGCATATATAAATTCGTGAAAGTATTCAGTCATATCACTGTAACGTAAATTGTCATAATTGCGTTTGTTTATTAAATATCCTTTTTAGCATAAAACGCTGAGTATAGATAATAAGAAGAACAAAAATTTATACGTAGTTTTACATGGTAATTATAATTTTTAATTTTAACTTTTTATAATATTCTGCGCATTAAAAGAAAAAAATGGTTGCAATTAATAATTTAACTATAATTTATAGTCGATCGTATATATCATTTTCGATGCCAGGAGTATTTTTTTTTTGGTAGAACTAAATTTCTTTAACTAAGTTTTAAAAGAAATAAAGGTAAACAAAAGATATACATATTGTACAATAAAATCAATTTTATTAAGTAATAGATAATCAATTTTACTAAGAAGCACATGAAAACGTTGATTTTTATCAAGAAATTTTAACGAAGGAGGACTTTATTCGTATTGTTGCCAAAGTACACAAGAGAATTTTCTTTGTCATAACGAGTGCTTATTCAGCTGAACATACACAGTAAGAAACCGCAAGAAATGGATATTGATACCGCAAAGTCGCTATAACGTCATATTATCACATATTTTAATTTATTATTTCAAACACCCTTTTACAAAACCATAATAAAAAATTAACTGTATTTATTCCGCCAGTTTGCGCAACTTGATAATCGTGTGACTTTCCCCACCGCATAACTCACAATTTTACTGTTGCACTTTACGATCGGTTTGCGTTCTCCTACAGATAACGATATTCCGAGAAGCGTGCAAAAGTGCTTATCAAACGTATTTCGTCGTTATTGATCATCTTAACACCACACTAAGTGAGAAAAACATATTTTTCTGGCAATGCATCAAATTCTAATGAATAAAAATCCAATAATATTTTGCTTTTTGTTTTCATAATTTCTCTTACTATTTATTTTGTTGTCTTGAAAGTAGCTTTAGTTTTTTTTTAATTAGTTTATCAATTAGCTTAATTTATGCAAAATTTTAATTCTTTGTTGCATAGTATACCTACAGAAGGGCATATCTTTCTCATCGCAGTTTTTGAATGTTTTTATCATATTTGATAATTGATTTATATTACGTATTTAGTATCGTTATGTAAAACTTGTGTATATATGAATAGTAAAAAATATGTAATTATTTTGCGATAAATATAAGTTAGAAATAAAAAATTAATTAAAATTAGCGCTCTTTTTATAAAAAATTCATGCTAAGATAACAATAATAATAAATGAGGAGCAAACTTCCAAAATACATTTTGTCCAAAATTTCCTTTTTTTAGTTAAAAAAGTATAGTATTCAATGTTGAAAGATTCATATTTTAAACTATACTCTACAATGTTCTAAAAGCATTTCTACACCAATTTACCATCAATTTATGTGCTGAAAAGAATCTTAACATTCGAAATGAATTACGTCCTTTAACTAGAGACAAACAAAATGTTTAATATTTTTAACAACTGTTTAGCAATTTTGTTGAACGTTGCATATTTTACTGATTGCAAATTGTTATTTTCTGTAAGGCGCACAGTTTTCTTAGGATTATCTTTCTCATTTTCTGAAAATTAAATTTTGGACAAAATGCATTTTGAAAATCTGCTCCTTAAATACATATACCTTCAAAATCTCGACCTATATTAATGTTCGCTGATTTTAAATTTGCACTCATAGTTGACAAATTTTCATAAATAGCAGATCCAAAATGGTCAAAATAATTATCAAGACATTTTTAATTCTGATATTAATAAAACATAAATTTTTAATATTCTTTATAATTTTTTAATGTTTTTACGTATAAAATTTTACACGTAAATAAGCCATAATTAATTCTTTTGAATTTAGCTGCCATATATCATTTTGATTTTTTAAATTTTGACTTAAGATTTGTAATCAGCAGTCCCAAAAAAACTCCTATATACTAAAATTCAGCCAAATATAATAGAAAAATAAAAAAATTTATGCAGCAAAGGATTAAGCAAAACAAATTGTATATCATAATGTAGAACACGAAAATAAAAACGTATTGTTTTATTTACAAGGAAAATATTCAGGTTGAGCATCTGGAGCATTTTCGAGCTTTAATTTCCAGCAAATTCTCTCCATAGCATCAGATGTTGAATTGTAAAAATTCGCGTCATGCTGAAGATATGTCCCATCATTTATATCTATAGTAGTATTCATGTACGGTTTTCCGTTTAATGTATAACCAGATTCGGTTTTCTTTATCATAGTAACACCATTTACAGAATTAATTACGGTGTTGCTGCCACTTGATATTACTCGTCCATTTGTTATAAAATGTCCTTGTCCATCTGCACAAAAAATTTCCGTTGCATGCGTTTTATTTTCTGTTACCTTTAAGTTTGCTTTATGTTGATTATACAATCAGCGTATGACCAACCATCAATCAATATGTAATTGTTGGAAAAAATTTGATATTTTATTTTGGGGAAAAGAGAAACTATTTTAAACAAATTGTAATTTAGTTAATTATCAGCAGTAGTGTGATATTACAATAGAATTTTGTTTGAGCCAGCAGTGCAGCTTTATGACACCCTATATAATACCGGACTAATTGCTTTTAAATTACAATGTCACCAATTGTCGGATCGGTCAATTTCAAGCGGATATTATGGCGATTAAATTTTTATCGATACTAATTGCTAATGATAACGCTATTTGATTCGAAACTCTCATACCTATGAGCTAATTACATAGATAAATGTTGCGCGAAATTAAACGTCAGTAACGAATTATCGGATTGAATGAATGGAAAAAGAATACCGGCCACCTTGAGACTTAATATAGAGAATGCTAAGTGTCTGCTCTGTATCACGGCCAATTGTGAAAGGGACGTCGATTACGCAGCAAATGAGATGCAATTTTGGAATTTCCGTTTCTTTATCTTTTGTAACGATAAAGAATATTGCTAAGCGCGAACTATTATGCAAACGCGAGACTTCTCTCTTCCGCAAGAAATTTAAGAAACTGTATTTTTACGTATTATATTTAGATATCGATGCTCCGAGATTTTCTGAACACGAAGTGAGAGAAAATAACTGCGTTCGAATCGCAAATATTGATTCAGATGCTTGAAAAAAAATATTGGATAAAATTATATTGAATGATGTTAAATTAAGCTAAAAACTATCAATAGTAAAGTATAAATATAAGATATAAGATGAAAAAATCATCTATTTAGTTTTGTGACGCACTTCGGTATATGCATAAACATATTGCTATAATTTCTATTATATCCTTCGGATTTATTAGTTGCATAAAAAAAATATGTAAATAATGCAAAGAGATTTATAGCGTTTATTTTTAAAAATTTTTTGAACTTTTCGATTATTTATTTAAATTAAATAAAAATTGAATTATGCTATTAAGCGTATGACTGTTCAATTTTTATTACATATTGCTGCAGTTCTTAAATCAATAAACATTAGTAGATATTGTAAAATATTTTGTGATTAATTACCTCTTGATAGATTTTTGACTGTTTCGTCGACATGCGCAAGTGTTTGTTGCACCGAATTCTCTAGTCGCTGATTCAAATTATCTATTTGCTTATCCAAATTTTTTAACATATGATTCACTTGTGTATGGATATTTGAAAGATCGGTCTCCCAATTAGGAGCAGCCATCCCCAGATGAGCACTGTAAAATAAAAAAAATTGTATCAGGAACTGTCGGGAATCAATGATAAATTATACTCTTGTTTATTTGCCTAGACACGTATTCGCTAACTATAGTTCGCGCATTTGTAAAATGCGATGATTCATACGTACTGACCATGAATAAATACATGCATAACAATAATGAAATTCTATTATTACTTGCGCAGATACTAAACACTCGGCGCATTCAGAAAATAGTTTGTCAATTCATAATTGTGGTTTAAAATTGAATCCAGACCAAGCAAATAAATAACAATTTATTTCAATGAATGTGTGTCTCAAGATATAAGTTGTCCGTTTGTATTTACTCGCGCTTGTTTGGTCAGTCGGGATTCTGCTTAATTTATGAGATAGAAATTAGTCTCGATTGCACAACCGGCTATGTTCCGAAATTCATTGTCAGTGTTGAAAATTTGTAGTACACGTAACATACAGTATAGATTTTCAGCGCTAGCAGTAAATTTGGAACACAGCCTTTATGCTGAATGATTGGAAAAAATTGACTATCTTCATCGAAAAGAACTAACCTGATCAACAATAAAATACTCAGTATGATGTGACAGACTTTCCTGGCCATTTTCGTCCAAAATACTCTGGATCTCCACGGATTGACAGACAAACTAAATGGGAAAGTGGAGCCGCTCTTTCCTTTGCGTAAGTGCGTATAGCAGTTCCGGTTAAATCACGTCGTATACAAGCAGATATCGTCTTATTTCGCGTGCACTGACAATCGGCTATATTGCACCTAGCGTCGCTAACATTCTGTTGCGCCGCGTCGTTTCTCTGCACTTATATACACAGACAGACCTTCCCGGGTTATCGAAGCTGTGACTATACATACGTTACTATGTACGTGTTCATACATCGCATTATACTTGACGACTGAAGAAACGCGAAGTTGGAGAAAGAGCATCCTTGTGGAATTGTTGGATAACGTCATAAATGAGATGTTGCTGATAGCAGAGAATGGGAGAAAAATCATAAAAGATAAAAGGAAATTGTTAGAGTAATAATCAATAGTAATATCAATAGCTACACGAACTAAAGAGAATAAAAAGTTCTGATTTAATAATTATTGAAAAATTAAAAGTAATATTTAAAATTTATACATATTATCCTCATTTCTGCTAAATTCTATTTTAATATTGTGCACATTATTAACATTATATGTTAATCCTTTATTATTCTGGGGGGAGGGGGGGTGTGCTCTTTATAAATTCGCTAGAACTATGAATGCTGTATATTTATTCATATTGTTATTTAGTATAAATGATTTTACAATTTGAAACAATTATTTTGCTTTTTTCTTTAATTAAAGGATGTATAGAATATTATATCAATTTTTATTTAATTATGAAGGAAATCATGAAGGAAAACTGTGAAAATTAAGATATATAATAATATTTTTTAACATATATGAATGTATATATAAATATGATTGGCGAAAGTTTCCAATTCATATGTAACTTTATGATGATTTTCACGCAAGTATTTACATAAAAAAAAACTACGCAAGTAATGCAGAGTTAATACAAAATACAACGTACTACATACAATGCGTAGTTTTTTATATGATAAATGTATTAATATATATATATACTTTTTTAAATATAAAATATTTTATAATATATTTCGAATATTAATATTACATTGTATATAATAAGTGCGTGTTACTATTTTTAAATTAAGCGACATCGTTCTTCCATTAGAGAGCAACAACAATGACATTTATTTTTTTTTTTAGAGTTCTTTAATCGTCCTGATCTGCCGCATCGATCATCTTTCCGATCAGACACGGACGCTAAAAGGATAACGCAAGGTGTCGAGTCGAGATAAATCGTGTGTATCAAATTTCTCCCAAATTTTGCGGCCCTCGGCGACTGTAGCGCGGAAGACCGAGATGCGTCGGTGAGATTTATCGCGATGCCTTTTTGAACCACTGTAATTTTGCAAGATGATCGCCAGCGTAACCATTTGATATATCGAGCTCTCGTTACACTTCTCGCCACAAGAAGAATAACTTTTCCTCGATGGCAGTCAATAAATCACATGTGAGCACGTATCTCATGCGTATTGCAGGATTACGTGGCCGTCCGATATATCAATATAAGCTTGAATTAAAGATTTAAAGCGATATAAAATAATATATGATGTAAGATAAACACCTAATGCAAATTAAAATCTTCGGGAATTAATTAAAGAAATTTTAAATGTTTTTTATCAAATAATTTCATTTTTCTGTACTTTTTTTGAAACAAAAATAATTTTTTTTTAATTAAACGTTTAATTTAACAATTTTATTTTAACTGAAGTAATTAAATAATCAAATGTGTGTGTGTGTGTGTGTGTGTGTATTTCAACTTTTATTATTAAAAAAATCGAATGTGTAATAATTAAAATTTGCCATTAATGATGTGGCAGTTAAAAGCTTCTGGCTATATTAATTAATTTATTATCTTGCTCACAAGGAGAAAACACAATTTGTTATGGATTTTGATTTTCTTTAAAATGGTGAATAAAAATCATAAAATTTTATATCGGAACTTACGCATTTATTGTTTGGAACTTTTGATAAGTAATCACTGGTGGCACAAAAAGAAGTCTGCTGGAGCATTGTTGGAGAAGTAGGAAGAGTGATTCAAAACGGTAACGCTGACTCAAGAATTGCACACTTTGAATCAGAACCTCAAATAGGACACAAAGTCATAATTAAGTCATAATGATATCATTGAAAGACGTCATCATAACACCATTTGATATTTAAAAATGAATTTATAATAAATAAGATCATAATGATGTTCTTATGATTTTATTATGATTTCTATGTTCTACTTGAGACTGACAAGACTTTAGAAGATATCCAAAGACGACTTTTCACATCAGAATTTTCGTAAGCTATATGAATGTTGTCAGAAATATATTGTTTCTATATTGGGTGATTTACACAAGGTGACTATATTCACTTAAAACAGCGTCTAGTGACGTTATTCAAATATAGACATAATTTATATATCTAATGACGTTATTCAGAACTTTTTCTAGACGCTGGATTTCTCTCTCTCTAAATCTGAATCAGTGGGTAATCACTGATATCAGTGCCAAGTATGCCATTGGTAATCAATGAATGAAATGTGAGATCCCTAACCTAGCTGTGATCTTTGTTACGTAATCTAATTAATCTTGTTTTAGTGCATAAATTCAATAAATGTGATATTGGAAAATTGAAATTAATATACAAATATCAGTATTTTAGTTATATAATGTTCAAATATTCTTCCTTTTTTAATTAAACTTTACTAATTATCATTTCCCAGTATGCCACTGAGTAATTAGTGACTATCCATTGATTCAGATTTAAAGAGTTTGTTAGCGACAACATATCTAATTGTAAATATTGCTTTTGACTAGTTTGTCGCTAGTTTGTCGCTAGCTTCTTCGTTTCTTATCGCTGGTGATAAACGCTTCGATTTTTATTCTTTCAGAACAAATTTTTAAGTCATAAAGCGACTTTAAAATTTTAGCTTTCATTAACGAATACGCTGATGAATTTGTTGATAAAAGCTTTTTTCTACACTCTTGTTTTTTATTCGCTAGTGTCTAAAATTTTTAAGTCGCAGCGTCGAGTGGTCGCTTGACGACTTAAAATTCGCTTTCTGATGGAAAAGCAAAAATTGAAGCGTTTATCGTCAGCGATAAGAAACGCAAGAAGTTAAGCAACAAAGCAGTATTTGTCGCAACTATACGCTAACAAGAAAAAACCATCGTCTAGAAAAAGTTTTTAGTAGCGTATTCACTAGACGCTATTTTAAGCGAATAAAGTCGCTCCGTGTAAATCATATGGGAGGAATTACTTTGAAGAATAATATAAGATTATTTATATATTAAACTAAACGGTATTTATATTTTTTCTCATTATATAATATTTATTAAACTTTATTGTTAAACTACAAATATTGTAAAAAATAAAATGTTAATTTTAAATTAAAGACGTAGTGGATTTTCCGAGATATTAAAAAATGTTAGAATTAACATATTAATTTAAAAATTTTTTAATGTCTATACGTCTTTAAGTTAAAATTAACATTTTATTTTTTACAGTGTATGGATGTATATATATATATATATTTATTTATTTATTAGAGTGGTTGTTATTTCAACAATTTTTGAAATTTAATCCGGATACATCTAAAGTGATTCAATATCTAAAAAAAATAATACCATATTTTTTTCAGATTTTTTAAACAATTTTAACCAATATGCTACTGAGGCACAGATAGGTGAAAAAACATCTATGTGAATAAAATTTGGCCGATGCTCTAATTCTTAACCAATTTTAAAGTTTTTCTTAATTTGTTCGAAATTGGATAAGCTAGAAGCTCATTTTGCGTAAATTTTGATTACGGATTATATCCAAAGTAGAAATTGATGTAATGAAGTGAGCAGAATAAATCAAAATTATATGATAATGAATATTGGATCGGCAATTTTTCATTTAAACTATAATAAAAATTTACTGAGTGATAGAGTATGAGTTTATAACTTATTTAGTTTCATCAAACAAATTTTTAAAAAATACTTTAAAATTGGTTAAGAATTAAAGTTGACTAAATTTTTCCGCTCATTACGCAGAACATATTTTAAAAAATTATTCAAAAAATCTGAAAAAAATATGGTGGTATTTTTTTGAGATATTGAACCACTTTAGAGGGTGTCCCGATTAAATTTAAAAAATTGTTAAAGTAACAATCACTCTAATATATTATATACACATTTATACATGTTAAAAGCATATTCGACGAATTAAGATTCATACAACAATTAGTTTTCAATCTAATAGAGTTAATCATTATTCTAAATAATGTTTTCCATAAGACAAAAAGCAAGTCATACAATAATACAGCCTAATTAAAATATAAAGAAAAGAAAGATTAAACATGTATATATTTTATAATACGTTGAATATTTTGAAAAATTAACTGGAGCACGCGATTCCCGACATACAGTAAGTCTGTTTCCTATAGCGGAACTAGAATACTTTTGGAACTTAAAATGAGATAGATATATGTGTAATATTTGGCGAAAAAGCGAGAAAGAGAGTTTTGATACAATCCAATGCAGGAATAAAACAGATCTAGTGTTTATTATATGTGCGCGTGGTATTATGTGCTATCATTGTCATTCATATGATGAGGTTTGAATCGATAGGATGTATATCGTTATATCAACGTATTACTCTTTGAGTAGCGATTACAACTAATACCTAGAAAATTATTCTGTACAATTATCACAATTAGCGATCATTCATTCGGATGATTGATTCTCGTGAGATTAAGACTCGCAAACGTATCGTAGGTTACTTATTGAATTCAAACAGGTATTCTTCGTGATTCATTCATTTAGGTTATATTTGAAGACTCTTTGAGTACGAAAATTTACTCGATATAATAGTATAGATATGTACATTAAGGAGTTATTCCACCTTGGAAGCCTCAAAATTATACCTTATTTTAAGAGTTGCTTACTAAAAATCTATATATAATACAAAAAATCTTTTTATATCTATTTGTTACTCTTATCTTAGTGTACAAAATAAGTAATAATTATATTCTTGGCAAATAAAATAGTGGCGCTACCGCACGTTTTTCATCTACGCGTAATAAAGATATTCACAGTGAACAGCAGAACGGGTCTAAAGTAGGCTGTATCTATTTTTAATTTGCGTTAAATTTACTAAAGAAATATCTATTCAATTAAAAAAAATGTTAAACAATGTGAAAATGGCGCATGTGTGAAAAAACGAATTCAATTTGTAAAAATTTAATATAAAAATATAAATTACAAAAAAAGTATATAAGAGTTATCGTAAAAACCACAAGTATTTCTTTAGATAATTTAATTGACAATAACTGAGCCAAATTTCAAAGCATTTGGATTAATTTTGTGGTAGTTCTAGTATCCACTGTTTTTGAAAACACCATTTTGAGAAAATTGCGATTAAGGATCCATAACAATCTCTTTTTGTCGTATTTTAAGCATATGGACGCACTAATTTCGAATCGAAAAATCGGTGTAATCTATATTAAAATTGTGTGTCAACGTCATCTACAGTATAGATATGTAACTATAACATCAAATAATGACAGAACTGTTCAGGTAAACGGAACAATTTTACGGCGGCGTGAAGGCACCGATTACTGTGCACCGCTCGACATAATCAACCGTATGTTCGTTAATATTGGGAATTTCACTTTCGAATAAATAATTTTATATTCTTAATATCCTAAACCCTAAACTAATCGACTTAAACAAAAAAATTTTTGATTTTTTAAAAGTTTCAGGATGGAATGATCCTATAAGTGTTCTATATATTTCGAGTAAAATTTTCTCTAGAAAAGGCGTTTTAGAATGTATCCTTAAAGTATGAATCGAAGCAATAAGAAATTTGTAAGTTTATAGCTTTTCATTATTAAAACTTAGATAATTCTTATTTTATTTGTGATGTCATATGCACATAACTCAGTTAAATATTCCTTTTCATTCTGATAAATGAGATTTAACTAAGTTTTTATCTACATCAATCTGCACAAGCTCAAGACTATGTGCTTTACTGAGTGTTAACTCACATTAAAAATAAGGTTTATAAATCTATGTTGTTATGCGATAACTTTGTCACCAAAGTAAGTAAGTAATGACGTCGTTATTTGAGTATAAAGTACATAATTTTAATCTTAGTATCGCTTGTGTGAAAAATGGAAAACAACAAATTTTATTGCGATATTTATGCAACGATAACTATTCTTTAAATGAATATTTGGATTCGAGAGGGAAATAATACTCAAATCGCCGAGTAAAATATTTGAAACGTAATACCTATATTGATCGCTTTAGATAATAATTAATAACTGATTTAAAATATAATGACTCTGGCGAAAAATCGGAGCATAGTTGAGCGTAAAGAAAGAATGATAGACGCCTGAATAAAACTTTTAGGAGGCGAAAATTAAGACAAAATGTAAAAAAAGCGTATACCTTTTACATTTCATTCAATTTTTTCCTTCTAGAGTTTCATTTGAATTTCTATCATTCTCCGCTTATATTCAATTTACACACTAATTTTTTGCCAAGAAAGGAAAACAGAACATTCAGTACAGTTATTTCATTGTGCGTTAGATAGATATTTTATAGTGATAACGAATTATTAAGCCCTACAAATTAATTCTACAATCGCTTAAGCGTATTAAATCGAATATTCTTCTCAACTGTGATTAGTCAATTCTTATAATTATAATCACACTGAGAAAAATGTCGAAGTATTACGAAGTATATATTACTTATATTACGTTAGTTACGTTTTCTTCGATATTTATTAGTTATAAAACAATTTAATTGTGATGACAAAATATACATTTCTGTGAAATTTTTATCTTATATTAATCGTAAAAAAATAAGATAGATAGCTTATTTGTTAGGAATAAAATTTTATTCCCGTATTTAAATAAATATTTTTTGTTGTAAATATTCCATATAGTATTTCAGTTAAATATACATTTCTTACAAATAAATTTTTTTCTCAATGTATTTACAATTACACGCAATTATAGAATATGCTTTACATGGCACTCGGTCTTAAAGCCTACAAACTTTGTAGCGCCACAATCGAAAACGCCAACCTATTCATACGAAACTACGGAGAAAAGTGTCGCATATGAAGAAATGTGTTCACTTTTCGTGTTTAACGCCACAGAATATAACTGTATGTATATAGCGTACACTCGGCAGCAGAGAAATTGCAACAATTTTTTTTCGATGGGTT